TTGCCTTTAAAATCACAAAAACGGCAATCTGGAGCATTGCCGTATTTGCGCGTAAGCCTTTCAAGGGCTGTTTTAGTGAGTCTGACCACCGACTCCAGTGATACCTGGCCTTAAAATTAGATTAGCTAGTTACCGCATCAGTACTACGGATCACGAGGAATTCTGATGCCGTAACTTTTAGTAGCTGTTTAAAACCGGCGTCGCCGAATACGCTGATCTGTAGGATTGCCCAGTAATGCACACGCAAGCATGCTCTACAATGAAATTTATTGAAGTGTTTTTATTAGTGGTCATAGTCATTTTTCCTCAAATTAACCTAATAGGTTCACTGGTACTCACTGCATTCTTGGAAAGGAATACTGAAAGTTTTGAAGCCTAAACCGATCAAGCCCAGCTTATAGAAATCGACCCACGTCTCAGTAATTCCTGGTACAAGAGTATTGAAGATCAGAAAATCAGTTTGGAAACAACATTGTAACTAGCAGGTGGATCTTTGTCGGATTGTAAGTAATTAAGAACCTGCCATAATCGTTTGAGTGAAATGCTGGAACGATTCAATGAGCACTTTTAGAGATTATGTTAATCTTTTCGGGGATTCGTAAGCGGTTGTCTGACGTTGTTATCATCCCACGTCATGCAGATATACTTTTTTTAGTAGTTACTGTTTGCACATACACTTTTGGTAGGGACCGACTGTATGCTTTCGCCTCTCCTCGACAAGACGCGGGAACAGGCACCACCCGTAATGCAGGTGGCTTTGTGCTTAACTCCAGGAATTCTGGAATTAGACTTTAATTTAAATTTGAGGTTAAGATGAGGATTGGGGTTACGTTTCAGGTTTAGGTTAGAGTTATGGCACTTTAATATGTACTCATTCTGAAATTTAGCACAAGGCCTCCCATATAACGGGCAGGGGAGTGTTACTATTACCGTGTCCTACCGACCATATCTTTTATGAAGATGCCATTTATCGAGGAGGTTGCCCGATATCGTATAATGCCGAAGAATAACTCTTAGTTTAGGCACTTAAAGGTACTACACACGTATCAGACCATCTTTATTCTCTTCACTTAAGGCAATACCAGCTTCCTCGTGACCATTTTAACTAGTTTTGCCCGTCAAATGCCGGGATAGCAGGGCGACCGTAGCGTTTTAAACTTGCCGGTATGCCATGACATTTTGCGCATATTCGGTTTGCCACGAATTTTCCTGCCTGATCACAGTACAATTTCTTCCTACCTGTGTTCAGATCAGATTGGAATTAACTTCTGCCCATGCAGGATAGGCACGCCTCGTCCTTTATTCTGGTCTCTCGGCAATATTTCCAAAGAAGCTCTGTATTTGTAGACTTAGGTTTTTTCTGTGCCCTCATCCTATACGTTAAATATCATCTTTTCAGATTCGGGAAGGCAAAGCGAAGGAAGCCACGAAGGACGAGGAAAAAGAACGCATTTTTGATTCAATTCGTGCCGATCAGCAGCGCCTAGTTGACATAACTGACGTATTCACCTCTCTGCAACAAGTAAAACAACAAGAAGAGCCTAAATTGGAACATTGGCAGCAAATTCTCGATGCCTTGGATGAGGATCACGACGGAAAAATTGAACTAAAGCATCTTAGTGCGGTGAGTGCCTCTTGCTAATGACCCTGGTCCCTCCTTTAAATTTTTTTATAATTCCTTTTCAAGGTGTGTATTCTCCAGGCCTTCGTTTTTGTATAAGGCATGCCAAGTTTTCTTTTTATCTTACTGACATAACAACAAGTGACATCCCGCCTCCTACCTTGGTTGTTATGAGCGGGTCGAACACCAGAGAGATTCATTTTGCCCTCAAAAGATCTGCTCTTTGAAGGCGTCTGAGAAACCGTTGACTTTGATCCGTCTTGACCTTCGTCTTACCTTGGCGCTTACTTGATACCTTGCAAATTTGGTACCGCAAAAATGACAGCCAACACAC